TTCCTCTTCAGAATTGCTATGTTAAGTTTTTACCTATCTCCTTTTGCTCATCGGGAAACTCTACTCTGCAAGAGTGTCCATTAAAATAATATTTTTAAATGGAACAAAAAAGTGATCAATGTAGATTTTAAATTCCCATACTTTACTCTTATAAACCCACTTTACAATAATATTCCATCTCATTTAGTTTTTGAGATATAAGCCCGCAAACATGGTACCTAATGCTGCAACACGCTGTATTATACATAAACTTATACATTATGCTAAGAATATTTGTAATAATTTCTATGCTATAGTAATAGTTTTTGTATAATTTAACATGAATTTCAATTATAATTTTTAAATATTTAAATAAATTATAACAAATTATAGTATTTAAAAAAATAATTATGATATTTTATGTCTATTATATTAATTAATAGTTTTCAAGATTAAACCAACCCGATTAGTTATTTTATTATCAATATTTAACCTATTCATTATTCATCAATTAATTTTATTAATTATGAGTTTTACTATGTATACAGTTATAGTATTTATGTTAAAATATTAACATTTTATTTTAAAAGTATATTTATTGTCTAGTTTTATAGTACACGAACTGTTTATTCAATTGCAAATTAATCTATTTTATTTAACCAATTTGATGTATAATTAAGATTCAATAATAAAATTAACCTTTTAATTAATATAAATAAGTTTTAAAATAACAAACCATTGGATCATAAGTTTAATAATGAAAGAAATAATTAGCTAATTTAGATAACTAGTATTAAGTAAAAATAATAGAAGTCAGTTTATCAACTGTGTAATTTTAATAAATTTTTAAATGAACATTTAGACAAATTATTAGCAAATAATACAAAACAAAAATATTTTAAACAAAATTAATTGATTTTTTCTCAATCATCATAAGTCACCTTGTAAGTTCATAAACAGTTTTTTAATTAGACATAAATTTTCCGCTGTACAGAATGCACTATGATATTTTTATAACAAATTACTGTACAGGATTTTAGCTTGATACCGTAACTAGTATATCACCTGTTATATAATTAATTATTAAAAATCCGCTTACCATTGGAAAACATATTTTTTAAGATTATATAAATATAACACACAATCGCAACATAGTTTAATTTAGTATTGTATTTAAAATTAAATTTAAGTTTTTAAAACAAACAAGTAAATTTATTCTACCAATATGAGTAACATTATGTGTATTGTTTTTGTAATATGTTCAGGTAGATTATTGTTATCATCATATTTATTGTAAAACATATATAATATATTTTATACTATTTTAGCAATGATCGGGGATATTTTTGGGTATCACGGACATTATGGCTGCGACTCGGACTACCAGTCAGACTATGATTACAGACCTCCTTCAAGGACTCCACCATCAACTTGGCCAGGTATGTTTTACAATAATAATCTATATTTATTTAATGCGTAAAGTTTTAAAAACTGTAAATAACATCAATTATTAATATTTATTTAGTAGCCATAGTTCCCCCGGTAACCCAAAACAGGGAAGTCTTTACAAATGCTAATGCCTTAAAAATGCCAAATAGTGTTCCCGGTGCCCGGATTCGTACGTAATTTTATTTTCAATATACAATTTTAAAAACAACACATTTTGAAATTTTAAAAATTATTTAGCGATCACTGCCTATAAGAAGACAAATATGACGGTCTATAAGCGCATTGTCTGTACGGGAGGTCCCGTACAACAGATCCAATTGAACGCCACGTTTGATACGGACTCCACGTGTAATGGTTACGATGCCTGGGTATCACCATTTACCTACTCGGCTACTGTTAATGGTCGGGAACAGGACCTGACTATTGGCAACTTCTCGCAATACTATACCTATTTGAATGGTATGTTGCTATATGAGCTAGTATGATTTATTACATAATATAAAATTAAGCTAGCAACATAGTTAAAATTATTCGCTATTGCCATGCAGTATACAGCCATGTAGCTAGTTTATTTTTATAATTTTTTAAACATTAATTATATTATTTAAATGTAATTGTAATAATTTTATTTAGTTTGATAACTAATTTACCTGTTATCTATTAAAAATTAGGCAATATGTACGAGGTGAATTTTGGCGAGATAACTGCCGGTCCCTGTAAAGGGGATACCTTTTTCTCGGCCAATGCCTACGTGGCGGACGACCAGTTAGGTTGCAGTGGAAATGGGTTGGGGTCGGCGTCAATAGACTACATCAATGCCCAGATATCGGGAAAGACATGCAATCAAGTTTGCACCCTGGACAATAGATTTCACTCGTACTTTAGATTTAACCCGGCTCTCACTAATTAAAAATACGATAAATAACACAATAAAATGTTTTTAATTATAAATATAAAATATATATATTTGATATTAATAAGTGTATAATGCTAGTTCATTTATAATGTGTTACATATTAAAGTATAACATTTTAAATATAAGAATTTTAATTTATTTTCAAATTAAACTATTTTATAAAATGTATTATTAAAGTACTTTATTTTAATTTCTATAAATTTAATGGTTCATCATGATATGTTATGTTAAGGCAATTTATTAATATATTAAAGCAAAATGTGTTTTTTGCTAAAGTTATATTTTAAATCAATTAGCTTGTAAATACTCAAATTATGGTTGATGTTGTATTTTATTTTGTTATTTAAAATTAAACCAGGGCATACACCCTTCGGTACATGACTACTAATAATATAAATTTGAGTTAACCCTGTAAAATAATTTTATTTAAACTAATTCACTTTAATAACAACTAGAATCATACAGACTAGTATGTGCTTTATTTCATCGAACATCTTTTCAAACGATATTTTATCAAAAATACTATTGCATTTACTTAATCTAATTGAAATAAACATTTGTATACAAATACTTACTATAAAACACATAATATTACCAGAACGGGAACATATAATGCAAATTATGTCAAGGAGGTCATCTCAATGGCATCTTCATATGTATTTTGATTATATGAAAGAGGGACAAATATTTCTATGAGTAATATAGGATTAAGCTTTATTTGGAGCATGTCTAATAGTAAACCAATGCAACACGTTCCATAAAAATCTTATATTACTCATAGAAATAATTGTCGTTGTTTCATATAATCGAGTCACATATACCGGGGAGGAATGTGTTTTGTTAGGTCGAAAATAGGGGAATCCTCCCCACGGAGGATGTTCTGGTCATACTATATGCTTTACCTACTCGGCCACTGTTAATGGCCGGGCACAGGACCTGACTATTGGCAACTTATCGCAGAACTATTCTTATCTGATTGGTTTGAAATAATATGATTTATTAGAAAATATAAAAAAATGTTAGCAGCACAATTAAAAATGATTTGTTATTGCCATGCTGGTATAGCTAGCTTATTTTTATAATTTTTTAAAACATTCAGTCCCTGAGGGCTGGTCAACATTAATGGCCCTGGGAATTTCCGGTTACTCGTTATATCTTTATCGGTAATAATTTTCCTAATGTTTTCAATTAGGATGTTATTACAGGTCGTAAAATGTTCTTTCTCATTATTCTAAAAATTGAAATTTATATAATAACAAATAAGAAAGAATTACTAAATATTTATAATAATATAAACTAGGACAGCTGGTAGAAACTACTTAGCTTTATTAAATCATAATCTGATGCCTTCCCCTACCTATCCTAACCTATCTGATCAATAAAATAAATCATCAACTCAATAGATACTGTATTACTGTATTTATAACCCGTCTCACGCGCTTACACTCTATTGTATATAAAACAAAACTACTGGTAGACTTTGCGCGTGAAACAATAAATTCAAATAAAAAATAAATAAAAATCCGTTAATCACTCGTCTCTCGCGCTTACAAAACTATTGTTGACCATAATTTACCAACAAAATAAAATTAATATATTAACTAGGACAACTGGGAAGTACATTTTCTAGTGATTGGAAATCATAATCTGATACCTTTCCCCTACCTATCCTAACCTATCTGACGAATAATCCAAGCACTAACTCAATAGATACAGTATTACTTTATTTACAACATGTCTCACGCGATAACACTGCAACGTATATAAATACCTACTACTGGTAATGGTAGCACGTGAAACAATACATTCAAATAATAAATAATTAAATAAATAAAAAAACGTTAATCGCTTTTGTCTCGCGCTTACAAAACTATTGTTATGACTCATACAAAACAGAAAAATTAATTTAATAGATTTTAATTATTACATTTGGCAAGTATAATAATCTTTAATTTTTTGATATACACTCCATTTGTTCTTTAAATGTAAGTAATTGAAATTTTCTATTTATAATGTTTGTTAAATATTGAGAATAAAAAGAACCTTTTTCTTTAAGCTTATTATGTGTTGATTCAAGGTCAGCATCAGTCAACAGAATTTTGATCTCAATAGACCATTGCCTATAATTTGATTAAACCATGCTGCATTCTGGTCTAATATCACAAACTTTGTCCATCATGGAATCTAATTCATTATGCAAGTGACACATTGGGGTGGTCAAAGAATTTTAGTTTTTTATTTCAACTTTATTTTTTTATAAAAAATAAGTTATATTTTCAAAATCATTGTTTTATATATTAAATTTTTTTATTACTATAGTAAGTTTATGAAAACAAAGTAATAAATTAATATATAGCTTTAAATAAAAGAAGGGATACTGGAATATTTATGATAGAAATATATATATCAATCATAAGTAGATTAAACTAGGTCTGTTATACTGAATCCAAGTCGTCTAAAAACACTCAATATTGTCTCTACTTATAAGTAATCGTTTGACAAAAATAAAATTTTTGAAACTTGAATAATTAATAATTAATTTTATTTTTATAAACAATTTATACAACAGTCTTATAAATATGAAACTAAATTGTATACGAATTATAATGAAGTTAACAGTTACAAATTCTTATAATATCAGAATTAATAAGGCGGCGTGCACACAGTACATACGCACTGGTAGGGGTAGGGGTCATGCCAAAGCGTATGTCACCACGTTAAATTCCTACGTATGATGGGTGTGTAGGAGGAGGGGGTCAATTTTTGACCAACATTTTGCGTACGTACTTTGTGCACGTCGCCTAATAGGATTTTTACGTTGAAAAGGAAATTTTATAAAATTAGAAATATTGTTACATTATCACTTTTGGGAACAGAAATCATTTTGTTGTGTCATATTTTATAGTATTGTATTATGTTTAAAATTTTATAAATATGTCCTTTACATATGTATGAATGGTTTCCAGACCATCGTTTCTGTTCATAAAAATAGTCACATACAGTAGTACTGTATGCATACATATACCTGAGTAATACATTAGCTAAAGTCAAAGTGAACTATTTGTATGAACAGAAACGATGGTCTGGAAACCATTTAAACATATATAAAAAAATTAATTTTTTGTTAGTTTGTTACTTATATATTTATTAGAAAATAAGACAAAAATTATATCATTAAAACCGTTATAAAGGTAGAATTTTATATGTAATTGTATAAATTGTAAAGTTCATCTACAAACCTATGATATGATAAGCAGAAAGTCAAATAAATTCAATACACAAACCATAAAGTTAAGCGAAATACAATAAAATATGAACATAAAACAAGGTTGCAAGCAATTCTATAAAACCCAAATTTACAGTAAAGCGATTACAGAATAAATTATAATCTCATAGATTTTAGATATTTATTGTTAATCAGTAAACATATAAAATTATCAACCGATACAGTGGGCTATAATATTAGCTAGCTTATTTACTTACCTTTTTCGCATTAATATATTCGCAAAAGAAATAATAGTCTCTTTCGTATGAATTGAGATGAGATTGAAATGTTGCAATCATTTCATCAGTAATTTTAATATTATGCTTAAAAATTAGCTTAAATTCATTGAAAATATCCGATGCCTCCCATTCCCTTCCCTTATTACTGTCCATCAAGTTATTAATAAACAATTTAATGCCATTCATATTTATGCCAATATTTTGCAAAATTTCATTTCTATAAATAAATAAATTGATATAATTAATTAAAACAGATATATATTTATAATTTATTTTAACAGACATATAAATTACAAAATAAATCTAATAATATTTGCTAATTTAAATTAATTTCTTATTTATAAAATAATAATATATAATTTAAATATGTTAGGCAAGTTTACTAGTAACATATTAAATAATATGCATGTAACATTAATTACTTTTTAAAAAGTGTATGAAATAATTCGTGGCACGAACGACCTATATCAAATAAATCCAAATTATTTAACTGTCCATTTTTACAAACATTGTTCGATCTTCTGTTAAATTTGTTATTAAATAATTTAATAAAATGTCCATTTATTACATTTTTGCAAATTAAAAAATTTTCAGTAATAAAGTCGCTGTGAATGCACTCCAGTTCCCCATTGGTGTCGGTGTCGACCGTTTGGTGCAAATCGTAAACGCATTGTAAGAGTTCTCGCATTAATTCATACGATATATAGAAATCAATGCAAATCATGTAGACAGAATTTTGGTTTTTAAATATCACTGATTTATCCTTGCTAACATCATGTAGATTTTGAGTACAACTTTCAACTTGAACGTGTATGAGCTTATTTTCAATCCATAAACTGTAAAATTCAATGCAGTATTGGGAATTTGCATTTATGAGCTTGGTTCTTTGATCCAAAATTTCTGTCATATTAATCAAGTTTTCTAATAAAAATAAAAATATAATTTGAATTATAAATTATTCAAATATATATAATTATAATTACCTTCGATTTCAAAAGTTAGAATTAGATATTCCTTGAAGTTATAATTTATAAAAGAATTTGCTTGATACATTTGTTTGTTTTTCACAAATTTTCCCTCAATTTTATTATTAGATGATTTTAGAATTTCCCAATTTTTAAAATAAGTGCCTTGAACAAATTTATAATTAAGTTATCAAATTAAACAAAATAAATATGCTAAAACAATAAATTATTTTACCTTGATGTATCGAATACTCTGTGGTTGTTAATACTATGCACGGTGAACATTTAAGATATGAGAAATACAAATATTGATAATTACGCTTAATTATCTTATCAAATAGATCCCGGTTATTTAACTCTATTTCTTTAACCATGGTTAATTTTTGTAATTGGGCCAGTACATCTTTACATTCAGGTCTATCCCTCCAATCAGTTGAACCACACTTTGAATATTCATTGAGAGCCATTGATACAAGTATATTGTATACACTTTGCGATAATTCACCAAACACATTTCCATCTACTGGGTGAGTTCTAAAAATATTAATTCTATTATAGTTTTATTTGTGATATGATAGTGACATTTAACTACGTTTTAATATGTCTACATTATATGCATTGAAAAGCTATATTAACCAGGGTAGAAAGTTCATATATCTTAAAGTTTATAACAAGCTTTATAACATACTTTCCCTGGGTGATATTCTTTTTATTGAATCCAAAAATCTCTGCCCCAATGAGAGCCAGGCTATAGATATCAATCTTATGATTATATGAATCCTCTTCAGCTTCGGGTGCCATATAGTCGGGTGATCCCACTTCCTGTGTCTGTTGCACTGCCGACATGCTAAACGAATCTAAATTACGAAAGTCCTTAGAAACACCTAGGTCGCATAATTTTAAATATCTCGTCTGGTTCATCTGAATGTGCCTGGCTATTAGCACGTTATCCGGTTTGAGGTCCCTATGAATAATATGGTGATCGTGTAAATACTGCACACATTCGGTGAGTTCGATGAGAATTTCGAAACCCATTCGTATTCGGAAACCGGATTCGGATTCCGTTTCGGATACCGATTGCAGTACTTTTAGAAAGTTTTTCAACGAATCGTAACACAATTCCATTTCGATGTACAGACAGTCGTTTTCGAGCCACGAGTTCACGTAGTCTATGACATACATCTGGTAGTCGGTGCTGAATTCATTGCGCAGGGTAATTAAGTTACTAGCTTCGTTTAGTATATTTTCTTTAGATTTTGCGTCAAGGCCTTATACGAATTATTTATTTTAATCAATTAGTATATAGTAAAATTTTTCTAATATTTATATTTTCTTATATAACTAATATATTTGTACCTGTTAACTGGCAGATTTTTATCGCAGTTTGACATAAACTATCTTTAGCTTTTGTTTTAACTTCAAGAACACTTCCAAAACCACCTCGACCAATTTCTTTAGTCATACTAAAAAACGTGTCAGAATACGCTTTTGCCTTGATAATTTTATATTCTGTAATTAAAGTATATAAATATTAAAATATTTTGCAACCTATATTCAAAAATTATACCTTGCTCATTGCAAATAATAAATGTTTCCACTGTAGATTGAGTTTCATTGGCAAAGAAATCTTCACTTGATAAATAATTTGTTTGAATAATATTTGCATCAAATACATGATATATTTTTCCTCCAGAAATTGCGCAAACTAAACTACTTCGTAAAATACCCGAATATAAGCAACTTAGCTTGGTAAACTTTAAACTGTCAATTTTGTTAATTATAGCACAATCACCAATGTCCTTTATTAATTGATATTCAATTATGCCATCGTTGCGTAACAAATATAACATTTTGTTACATTCGCACAGATCTTGCACGTTATCTATGTATTCAAGTAACATTGGTGAAAATACATTCATTTTTCTATCATCCCGGATATCGCCCCATACAAACACCTGTCCCATTGATGTAATAGCATAAGATTTATACAAAATGCAAAATATCTTGATAACTTGGTGTCCATCGGGAAATACAATAATTTTCGGGTCCGACACATTATCCGAGTCCAATTTACCGCAGCCTACTTGTCCATGTTTATTACCACCCCACCCATGCACCTGTCCATTGGCTGCCAGTATTAGAGTATGCACATTGCCACAACTAACCTGGCTGATCTTTATGTTACCATTGCTAAAATATGGTAGTAGAGTTGGTTTATAAAAATCGTCGCCACTAGTATCCCTGCCTAATTGACCATCATCTTGGGGCACCCAGCTCAAATGTCCAAAACTATAGATCCTAGATCGTTCATCTATTGCCAACACAAATAGGGAGCCGTGAAAAAATTTTCGTATATTTTGCTGACATAATCCGGACATAAGTCGGGCGCTCTCGACGGGCCCGATGTTGTCGAACCCGAGCTCGCCGTCAACGTTGATACCCATGCCGTACACCGAGTCGTCGGATGTCACAAACACTACGTTATGTCCGACACCGTCATCGAAAACGTAAAATAATTTAATTTGTTGTTTTAAAGTATCAGGCACCTTTGCGAATATAGTAAAGTTGTTAATAACTGACATGGTTTAACACGAATAATAAATTTATTTTAAAATTTAAATCATTACAATACTAAATAATGCGTTTATATATTTATATAAAATGGCGTTGTTACTTTGTTTTGAGTGTAAATATGCATGTTATGAAATACTGATAATGGACTTTGATACGATATTGATAAACATAGTTATGCAGTACTTATATTAATACTTGAACATACTGTCTCATACATATTAAAGCGTATTGTTATATAATGCTTAATATCATATTACAATAATATCACACACATAAAAATAAATTATATTTTTCACTATCTCATTGCACACATTTAATTAGTATCATTTTAAAATTTTAAAAATATAAAAATACTAATTTACTAAAGTATTCTTACTGCTACCAAGAGCAGCATCTATACTAGTATTATATAACCCTATTTTTATAAGTTTTAATAACTAAATGATAAATTAATTTAAACATTATAATACCTGCTGCAAATAGGGACATTACAACTATTAAAATAATTAAACGCATTTATTATTAATAAATTTTTTTATAAAAATGAATTAATATCTATTTTTAAAGTGAAAACAATTTCTCAATTACAGTATATGTATACTTGTAATATTTCTTTATTAATTAAACAAATTAATTTTCAAATACCCATATTAATATTTTATTCGGTTATCATTATCGTAATTAAAATTATAATTGACATAAACTATGCAAAGTTTTAAGTTTAATTACAACATATTTAATTTAACAAATTTTAAAATTATATTTATTTAGTTTTTGGAGGGCAACAATAGCAGGTAATGACGCCCTTGCTACTCTTAGTATAGCAACATTGTGGGTTGCTATCAGGGCAACAATAGTAGGCACTACACGGGTAAGTGCATGTATAGCAGCTTGGTGCACCGCTAGTTGATGCTAGATAAATTTATAATAAATTTAATACATGTAATTTATTTATGTATAATTATTTTGTACCTAGTGGATAGCCTGTGGATGAAGTTTCCGCACTGGTACCAACTTGCCCATTTACACCAGCACTATATAAACCTGCTAAATATAAAGATTTTTAATTGG